CGCTCGTCAATACCTTTCTCATCCAAAAAAAACATGGAAGAATGGAAACAAAGCTACAAAATCAAAGGGTACGGTCGTTGTCCAGTGGGTCCCAACTACGGTGTGGCGAAAGTTCGAATGTGTGCGTGATACAATGGTCATGAGCCGCTGATAAGGTTAGAGAGCGCAGACGAGAGATGGATCTGAGGCGGCTAAAGGACCGGGTTCAAGTAGTCCGTCAACCCTCAGATCCCAACATTCAGCATACGGCCCCGGCGAACAACGCACTTGCGCTAACATGCCGACCCTCTTATTAGAGGGAAAAATTTCTATCATGTCTTGTATTTTTTTTCATAATTTGCTTTCGGCTTTACTTTTTCGGTGAAACTCGGGTTCGGGGGGGGGGGGGGGGGCACGCGATGGCGCGGCGCTGTTTTCGTCTGCTCTACCAAGGCTTAGTCACCGATGGCGCGTATTTTGAAACTGCCACATAATGGCGAAAGAGTAACTGTCCCTGTGGACTAAGCCTTGGAGGAGCAGACGAACAGAGCGCCGCGCCATCGCGTGCCCCCCCCCCCCCGAACCCGAGTTTCACCCTTGTTCTTATAAAACCTGGTGAAACTCTGGTTCGGGGGGAACGACGGACCACTTGAACTCAGCCCTTTGAACCCGCTCTCCCTCTCTCGCGGGTCCCTCTCCTCTCCAAGGCTTAGTCCTAGGCACTTCACCCGCTCTCTAACCGTCTGTGCTCTAGCCATCGCGGCAGGACCATTGAGGAAAAATCAAGCCCGATGGCGCGCATTTTGAAACTGCCAGACGAACAGAGCGCCGCGCCATGAGTCCCGCGAACATGAGTTTCACCAAGCAGCTTTTTTGGTTTGGAATTTATCTTCACGTCCCTTACAAAAACGCGGTATCTTGGCATGTTGAAGATACAGTGCGTCAAATATTATGCAAGAGCATTCAACCTATCGCTTTTCGTACTTTCCGTGCATTCCGGACGCTCCACACCGACGCAGTTTGGAAGCAACCTTTCTTGGTCACGCTCACATCTATGTGCAAAAGGGCGCACTCAGTTTGGAGGAGGGAAGCCTGCGCCGCGTGCGTATCCGGCTCTCTGAGGCCGGGTGCAGCAAGCCCCGACGAGGGGATGGGTACCCAAGGTTCCTTTTTTTCCCCAACCTTGGGGACATATCCCCAACCTTGGGGAGAGGGGATGGGTACCCATCCCCTCGTCGGGGCTTGCTGCACCCGGCTCCTGGTGTAATGCGGTAAACCCGTGAACCAATGGAATGCAGGGACTTCAAGGAGGATGGCACGAGCCATATGTGAAAAGCTGGCATGTGCGAGTTCACAATATCTTGCAGAGAAGCCGCTGATCTTGCGTTCCCCTGATGCATTTGAGCTGGTACCTGTAATAGTTCAAATGGCTCAGCGCAGCCAGTCATATCGCCCAGACAGTGCAGGAAAGGGGGGGGGGGCACACGAAGCGTTTAAGGAAATGTGACGAGGGAATAATTATCCAATGCATTGCGACAATGAATATAATCCAGGGGGTCATTGCGTCGGGCGATTGGCTGCGGGGTCAAACAGAGCGGCGCTGCCGTTGTATTTGAAACAGCGCGCAGCAGCTCAGTAGTTAACAAGCAGAATCGTGTGCAGCAATAAACGCGTTCAAAATGGGACCGTATGCTATCCTTGTCATAAAGTTGGGAGATGTTCTCACAAGTAACTCAGTCCGATTATTTTTCCCTTTCATCTTTCATTTTGATAATCTCAGCTTAGTTCTGTTGAGCTGTAACTATCAGTTGCGGAAAGCGCAGCTTGTTGTCATTTGCTGTAATCGCATGCTCAGCTTATTTCAGAGAATGGAAGGAAAAAAGAAAAGACAAGGCTACTCGAGAGAAGACGAAGCCAATATGTGGATGTTTATATACAGGTTGTCGCCACTGAATTATTAATACTTTGGTTTTCTGAACACTCCGGTCCGATGGAATATAGAAATCTTCATTTTATAAAATAGAAATCTTTGGATGTTCTATCTAATACTTCTCAGTTTCATTCTGCTAAAAAGGGCATCCGTGATGTTTGTGCTTTAGAGAGCTGAGAGAAGGTAATCCATCTGCTTGCGAACCAAAAGGGCTTCGGATTTGGGACGACTATACCACGAAATGCGATGTGGATAGGACCGTGGACAGTTTGAATACCCAGTAAGTGCATGATTCGACCAATGATTTATAACGAGGTCGCAGCTATAGTTTGCATTGCCCGATTGAACCGATCGCTAGGCTTATCTGATCGTGTCATTGTGCGACCACATGATTAGTAGGTATCTACCTCACATTCGATGGCCACAGTCATGGTCTGAAATCATTCGTGGTTGGATGATTTCAAACCATGACTGTGGGGCCTGATTGTGAGGCAGGTGTTGAAGTGTGCGGGACTTTTGGCTCGTCCGGACTGGCACGCGGCGAGTTGCGCGGCGGCACGCGCGGCGATCTGGACGGGACAAGGCTTCGCGGGTTCTTCGGGTAGAATTCAACACGTTAATGCGTGTGCAGATTGCGAATAAACTCCGCATGGTTCTGCTGTCTTTCCGCTCACGGGGATTGGAGGCAGCAGTATCGGTGAGGGGATTTCAGCGCAAGAGATGAGTGAGGACCCTCATGTAAATGTAACTACTACCATCAAAGCAAATAAGAGTCACTAAAATTGGGAGTTCTTGTTGAGGTTTAATGTCAACTATATATGTTTTGCTGATCGAGGCGCTCACGTCCAGAGGAGAAACATTCAAAACAAAACAACAAAACAGGGTCGATGGTAGGTGTTAAGACTAAGCCCAGCAGAGGGGAAGAACGCCAGGGAACCCTTCTGCTGGGCTTGGTCCTAGGGTAGCTCTATCCCCCAGAATCCCTTCTCCTCCCTAAGTCTCGGTCCCAAACACAGTAATTGTCTCACTCACATCCCCCAAATGGAACGTCCCCCCCCCCAACAACATGACCGCCCTGATTGCCATAACAGCACTATGCTAGTTCCTTCTCATCTCTTCCTATTGCTACAACCACCGCTGTCCTCAAAATTCCAGCCCGTTCAGATGCATTTCGAATTGCAGAACCTTGCGGATTTTATCCGCAATCTTCACACGTTGACGTGTTGAATTCCCGCGATGCGTCGGGATCGCCGCGCAATTTGCCGCGTGCCAACCCGGACGAGCCAAAAGTCCGTCGCCCGGTGTTGCATAGATTCCACATTCCGTAAAAGTAATTTTGTAATCGCGATCGCTGTCCCAAGCAGGGTCAACCATATGTTGTACAAGTACCAGCGAAGGGAGTCGTATTTGGTGACGAGGTGGGAAGGGGTCTTAACGTGGTGATCAGTAGGGGAAATAGGTATAGACTTTGGAATGCATCGGCGATGTAGAAGCACACCGCAGGTGCGGCGCACACCACGGAGTGATTGTGAGAGCAGTTTAAATTCGAGTTATCAGTAATGAGAACTGTTTAAAGGGATTCCGCGGTTTCTGGAGTGAATGAAACGAAGCAAAGGGCATTAGGATGAAGGATGGATTTTTCGAAGAACAAAGAAAATTTTTACGGGAAAAATTTCTTCTGAAGAACGGATTTCCACAATTACTAAGGCGAATTTTCGAATTCGAATACTCATGCTTTTCTAGCACACTCAAATTTTACACGAAATCAGTTTTGAAGGAAGTTACGAACACTGGAACTTGAAAACTCGGTGTTTCAAAAAAAGCTCGGAGAGTGCCCCTCCAAAAAAGTTCCAACAGGACTAATTTTTGAATTGGGGTCTTTTTGAATAAGTTTTAACAAATTTCCAAAGCTTGTACCTTGAGGTTTGTCAGACTGGATTCAGTTCAAACTGATGAGTTTGAAGAGAGGTACTATCACTTGGTGGTTGAAAGGTGTAAGGGTTTCGTTATGTAAAGCCCATTCATTATTCAGCAACCAAGTAAAGGTTGTGACTATGAGATAACGGCTTTCAGTTTTCGACGTCATATGGCTGACAATCTTCATAAGGCCGAACTGAGTTGCAATGTGATGATGTATCTTTATCGTCGACTTAAACTAACAATGGAATCCGACGTCAAAAGAGCGTACGGTTTTATTTTTTATTCACTTTACTTCATGAAGAACTTTTCAGTTTCTTTCTGGTGAGTATCCTTTCTTATTGTCCACCACTGTCACTCGTTCTTAGTTATTCCATGTCGTGCTAGTCTTATGTAGTGGCTCAATTCGGGAATATCACGTTTCAGTGTTCATCAATCTGTAATTCGCAGGGCGATGGAAGTGGCATTTAATTTTCAGCAGATGAGCCATTTTCGTCAGATATTTCAAGGTTTCATTCCGAAGTTTAGATTCTTTCAAATGTACCACTGTCGCTTCGGATGAACTAGAAGATGAGATGCTCGGGGTCTAGAGGGCGGCTCACAAGTTTTGAACTGCGCTTGGACTTTGAAAGAACATGGGGAGAGCTTTCATTTTAGCAACTCTGTGGCACAAGAAAGGCATTAAAGTTGTTAGCATGAATCGAACTTTTTGTACGCAAAAGCTAGTGACAGGTGGAGAATGTGCGTAGTTCATGTTTGTATCATCTCTGCGCCTTTGATCCTAGACACAGTTTCGAAGCATAGAAGCTACAAAACTAAAGACATTATCTTCGGTTTCGCTGAAAATTTACTTACTAGGAATCAAAAGACGAAGGATGAATTAGGGCGTTAATGAATTCCCTTCGGTATGCACGAAGCATCTACTACCATTCCGAGTGGAGGCGTTTCAATGCAATCTGGCCTTTACCATTGGTAATAGGAGCCAAGCGATGTACATGTCGTTATTTTCATCCTCTCAGCAAGTGTGCTATCAGTTAGGCGATTCCGGAAGGATTGATAACCTGGTTAGTCAGAGCGTATTTCAATCCGAGATTTGGGCAACCGTACCTTGCACGTGGTACGCGGCACCTCTCGCAACCACACTGCCCCCGCCATAGTGCAGGGAAAGTGGTCTATACAACGCTGTCACTTTGAATAAAGTCTTTTCTTTCGTATGAGGAGAAGCTTCTCTATTCCATGCCCTTGAAACGCATTTGCTTGATCCTAAAACAACGATGTAACTCGAATTTACTTCATATAAGCATTGCTTTTTGGCAGGTCTAAGCACATTCCTACCAGAGCGCACGGCCTAATACTCTAACATCTTTTTTTTTCGAAATTCGATTCGCTAGGCAGTTGTGTTTGTTTGGAATTGAAAACTGCATTTTCTTTTTATCTTTTATTTAATCTTTCACTTAATATAGGCTCGAATTGAAGTTTACTGTGGAAATTGAGCTGAACAGTGATCATCATGTGAAAACCATCAAGACAGTTGTGCGGCCACCAAGCAATCAAGAAAATTCTGAAGGTAATTCAAACGATATATGCAGTGGAAGAGTACTGTGGTCAGATTTCCTGCTAAGAGCTCATATTATCAGGAGATCACTCATCACAGAACCCTGCTTCTTCTAATGAACGAGCACAGGACGAGCCTTATATCTCAAGCAGAACAGGATCTTTAACACCTCCTCCAAAACGACGGCTAAATTCCTCTTTGAATTTCACACGTGAGCCATTTGGTCGTTCGTAGGTTCGCGTTGGTTATGAATTATAACTGTTTGTTTTCTTGGTTTCGGAACTAGTTAACGATGTTCTTGTCAACAGTCGATTCGCGGTGCGATATAAGC